CAGATTTTCAGTGTAGATGAAACAGCCTTATATCAGAAGACACCATCTAAGACTTTCACAGATGGAGAGAAGTTAATACCTACTTTGAAGCTTCAAAGGGCAGGCTGACTCCCTTGTTAGGAGTGAATACAGCGAGTGACTTTTAAGTGAAAGCCAATGCTCATTTATGATTCTGAAAATCCTAAACCTAAAATTTATGCTAAATCTACTCTCCCAGTAATCTGATCTATAAATGGGACAACCAAGCCTGGGTAAAAGCAATCTGTTCACAACATGGTTAACAATATTTTAAGCCCAATGTTAAGACCTAATGCTCAGAAAAAAAGGATTCCTTTCAAAATATTACTGTTGACTGATGACACACCTGGTCTCCCAAGAGCTTTGATGGAGATGCACAAAATTAATGTTGTTTTCACACCTGCTCACAGAACATCCATTCTGCAGCCCATTTATCAAGAAATAATTTCCATGTTCAAGTCTTACTAGTTAAGAAATACATTTTGTAAGGCTACAGCTGCCATAGACAGTGATTCCTCTGATGGATCTGAGCAAAGAAAACTGAAATCTTCTGGAAACGATTCACCATTCTAGATGCCATTTGGAACAGTCATGACTCATGGGAAGAGGTCAAAATATCGACATTCACAGTAATTTGGAAGCAGTTGATTTCAGCTCTCATGCATGACTCTGAGGGGTTCAAGACTTCAGTGGAGGAAGTTATTGCAGGTATGGTAGAAATAGTAAGAAAGCTACAATTAGAAGTGAAACCTGAAGATACATGTGAATTGCTGATATCTCATCATAAACGTTTTATGGATGAGGAGTTGTTTCTTACAGATGAGCAAGGAAAGTGATTTCTTGAGATGGACTCTGTTCTGGTAAGGATGTTATGAAGATTGCTGAAATGCCAACAAAAGATTTAGAGTATTACATAAACTTAGTTGATAAAGCAGCAAAAGGGTTTGAGACGAATGACTCCAATTTTTTAAGTTCTACTGCAGGTAAAATGCTATCTAACAGGATGGCATGTTACAGAGAAATTGATTATGCAAAACGGCCAATCAGTGTGGCAAACCTCATTGTTGTCTTATTCTATAAAAAATTGCCACAGCTACCCCAATCTTTAGCAACCAGATCCCGATTAGTCAGCAGCCATCAACACAGAAGCAGGACCCTTCGCCAACAAAAAGATTATGACTTGCTGCAAGTTCAGATAATGGTTAGCATTTTTTAACAATGAAATATTTTTAAGTTAAGGTATGTACATTGTTTTTTTAGACATAATGCTACTGTATACTTAATAAGCTACAGTACAGTGGACATATAACTTTTACATGCCCTGGGGAACCAAAAATTCAGTTAACTCACTTTATTGCAGTATTTGCTTTATTTTGAATGTGCTTTATTGAGGTGGTCTGGAACCCAACCTCCAGTATCACTGCAGTATGACTGTATTGGGTAAATTTCTACAAGAGGAAGAATTAGGTCAAAGGTTAATTGAATTAGTAACTTTGGTAGATATTGTTAAATTGCTCTCCATAGGACCTGTACTGGCAAGTCCACAGCAATGTAGGAGAGGGTCTATTCCACTATAACCTTACTAACAGAGAATATCATCAACTTTTTGTACATTTGCCAATCTGAGCGCAAAGAAATATCTCAGTGTATATTTAATTTATATTTCTTTTATTATGAATGAGGTTGAGCATCATTCACATATTTAGAATAATCTATATTTTTTTCTGTGAAACACGTTTTTATCCTTTGCCCATTTTCCCACTGGTTTTTAGTCTCTTAAAATCATATTCTAAAAGCTCTTTATTTATCAGGGCAGTTAGCCCCTTGTTTGTGATAAAGGTTGCAAGCAATTTTCCTTCTCATTTTGTCAAAAAAAGAAAATTATAATTGATTAATGCCAGCTGCCAGATACTGACACATATATCCTTCATTATATATTGTTAATTCATTCAATAACTAAGTATCAGAGCACTATACTTGGTAATGAGCATACAAAGATTAAAACCACCTCAGAAGTGAGGCAACTACAAAAACAATTACATAAATATGGCCAAGTGTTTCAATAAAGGTACATATACAAATTCTATGAAATCGGTAAAGACAATACAATTAACTCAGCTTACAGTAGAAGGCGTCATAGTGAAAATGTTGATTGGGCTCAAAAGACATGATCAGAAAGTAAAGGTTAGGTGACTGTGAGATTTTAGCTTGCACGAGTGGGTAGCAATGTCTTTATAACTCAAACAGGGCATACTGGAGGAGTTAGTAGATTTGGGTGTGGGAGGTATGGGAGGTGTGAGGAATGATGAGTTCAGTTCAGCTCTTAATTGTACTGCTTGTGGTTCATCTGGGTTCCTAGACATAAGCAACGGACTACACGCAAATATGAATCTGAAGTACAGAAGAGAGTGTAGTAGTAGTTGAAGTTGAAGCCATTAAGGGAGACATAGTGCAGGAGGGGAGGTACCCTAAGTGATACCAGAAAACATAAACATTTAATTAAGAAGAACCTAGCAACTGAAAAGGATATTGCTTCACCACTTAAGGTTGGCAAGGACTGATGAACAAATCTACATATTACCTACATGGCACATAGCCCTTATTCAATACAGTACCAGCAACAGTGCAATGCAGCCAAAAAGAACTCAAAACACTAACCAAGAATCTTCTCCATTCCATTAATATCAGGTGTAAGTAAAAACTTTAATAAGGTCTGAGTCCTTAACTCTAACAAACTCTGACTTTGCTTTTATCTGAAGACCATGCTAATTGTGTTAATGTGTATATTCCCTGTAAATAATTGCTAAAATAGTAAGGGAATGTACGTCAGTCAATCAGAGGCAGATTAGTTACTGTGAATTCAACCTGTTGTAAGTGTTTTTAGAATTTTGGCTTCAATTAATTCCAGTTGTTGAATGTAATAATTAGGTGCCATTGAATATACTGCTGTAATTTCTGACGTCTAACATAAAATCTTCTGAAATCAGTAACAAGGTGATCTCAAATTACAAGTCAATTTTGAAGTTTATATTCAAACCCACATCTGTAAAGTGGAGATTATATACCTATATTAGGAATTGTGTTCTGGCACCATCTGACACATACAAACTGGTCAACAAATAGGTTATTATTACTACTGTTGTGGGAACTAAATTTACTTTAAGTCAAACCTGAGTCAAAGTTACTTTACCCTAATGCAGAAAAAGGTCTCATTTGATTTTTCTTTGAAAAATAATTGGTAATATCTATCATCAAGGTTTACTATACACTAAATACTATAAATATTAACTTATTTAACTCTTTTAGGAAATCCAAAGAATTAAGTACTAGTATCATCTTTATTCTATGAATAAAGAAGGTAGGCACGGAAAATTCAACTAAACTGCCCAGGGTCATCAAGTAAAGAAATGATGGAGCACATGAAGAGGTTGCAAAATCCATATACTTTCACGAGTTCTACTGTCTCTTCAGCACTATCTCAACTCTTCAACTCTTAAATTCCAAAATTCTCAATGACTCCTCAAACTCACATCACTTTACATGTAATTTTAAGTGGTTTATAACCCCTCAAGTCATGGGCTCCATAAACCCTAAGTTGAGCACCTCTGACTGAAACAGAAGCTGATATTAAATGTTATTTTAACTTTGCAAAAAACAACCCTTTTCTTAAAATACAGTTATCAACAGAACACAATTAGGTTTTGAATGACTGAGTCTACCAGTACCTTTTTGCCTTACTTTAAAAGCATAGATAAAAATAGTTAACATTTACTGAGAACTGGGTATTCTTCAAAATACTTTTGGTATAGTACCTCACTTAATTCTAACAACCCTATGAGGGAGCTACTTCTATAACCCCCATTTTATAGATAGCAAAACTGAGGGCAGGGGTATTTAAATTTGTTAAGTAACAAGTTAACAACTAGGATGTATATTCCCGAGTCTGTTCTATAGCTACTACAGATCTCTCTCAAGATGGGGAATACTGAGTATCCCACGTTAATTACATTGTATGATGACTAGAAAAGACTCTGTAAATAACCATGTGTTTATTATGTTTTAGGTGCTTAACACTAGAAACTTAAAAAAAAAAAAAAAGGCATGGTGACATAAAGACAGGTAAACTACCAGAAGGTACGGGCTGAAAATACCCGGTTACCAAAAACCTCCCAGTTTGAAATGTTTATCTGCTGAATGGTAATTTCTTCTTCTTCTAGAACACCTCCAAATTTACTCTTACACAGGGATGCTAGTAGACATGATTTTTCCTTTTACGATGCTAAAGTAATAGATTCTTTCCCTTCCCGTCCAGTCTTTTCAAACTGGATTGTCGCCCCCCATGCTACGCTGCAGTCACCGGGCACGCACTGCAATAGCGAGGAGGTCACAGAGAGCGGCCAGGTCTTCACCCTAATTCCTTTGCCCCGTTTAAACAAACAAATCCCTCCCAGAGCAGAAGGAAATCTGCCGCAGGGTAAAGCATTAGCGCTCGGTGTTCAGTCTTTTCCTGGGAAAGCGATCCGCAACAGCGCACATGAACCGTTTCCTTTTCTTCACGCCCGTCACAGTGTCTTTCGCCTCCAAGCCCCCCGGCGCCCCGACTACCTCCTCTGGCTGGGCGGAGCCCTCCGCACAGCAGGTCTGGGGTCGGCCTCCTCCCGCCAGCTCCGGCCAGCGTGCGTCCCCCGCGCGCGCCCTCGCCCTAACACAGTCCGTCTTCCAAAAGCCCGGCCACCCGTCAGCCTGGGCTACGCGCCGGCGCAGGGATCCTCGGCGGGTTCCATCCAGGGGCCCCCAGCGCCCGGCAGCGAGAAGACGCGCCGCCACCGCCTGCGGCTTTGGTGGGGGAAGCGCCAGGCGCCCTCCCGGCTTCCCCCACCTGGGACCCTCTCGCTGCCTTCCCTCCACCCACCCTTCCTCTCCTCTCTCCCATCCCGCTCACGCGTATTCCGCCTGGTTCCCCGCCTCCCTGTCACCCCTACCTAGAGATGGTCCGCCGCCGACTCGGCCGCTGCGCGGTCCCGGACTGCCAGAGCCAACGGGCAGCCCCGGCGGCCAACGGGAACGGCCCTGGGGGGCGGAGCCAGGCGAACGCTCTCAGCGGCCGGAGCCGCCAGCCAATCGGGGGCCGGAGGCATAAGCTGATATGACGGCAGATCGCGCGACTTGGCAGCGCGCGGCTCCCGGCGGTCACGTGGACGTCGGGGGCTCGGCCACGCCCTCTCCGTTCTCCAGGTGCGGAGAATGGAGGTTCCGGTTGGATTACTTTGCATTTTGCCTGCCGCTGCTACAGGTTTACCGTGTTTATGCAAGCATTCCTATAAATGATGCTCCCCTTTGAGGGCGATAAGTGACATGTCCTTTGAAGTAATGTCGGAGGCATTTTCCCCACTCAAGTGAAGGAAGCTCAGGAATCTGTCAGACGATTGCTAATTTCTCCATCTGGAACCTGCCCTTTTGTACAGCAGTGAGGCTGGAGATCGGCAGAACCTGTTTAGGTAGGTGGTCAAGTGGGGAGAGCCCTTTTCATAATACAGGTAAAGCAAATATGTGCAGACTGAACGGGAATATCTGTAGAGTCCTAGAAGTTTGCTTTTGTGTATAGTTTTGACTTTTGTGATTGTTAGCTTTTCTAAACAGGAATTGTGGTAGTCGCTCTTGTAAATGGAACTTCCTGGGAGCCTCACTGTCGTAGTTTTTAAAGTCCAACCCAGCAGGGTCAGCATCCTTCGGGAATTACCTGGAAATACAACTTCTTGGGAGCCACTTGCTGGATCAGAAACTCTGGGGAGGCCCTAGAAATCTGTGTTTTAACAAACTTTGGAGTGCATTTAATACTTGATAATGTTTGAGAAACTCTGCTCTAGTGAATGGAAGAAAATCGGACTAGTCCAGTCTTGCTCCTTCCACAGTGATAAGTAGAAGAAAAAACTGGAAAGCGGGAGATGACTAAGTTTGAGAAAGAGAAACTCTGTTTCCTTATAGGACCATCAGAAGAGCTACAATGTAAAGGGAGAAGTTATTAGACTCCAGTCATTAAAACCTTTTTTTTGAGTATTATTTCAAGTATCTGTCGCTTGCCTCCTACTTTTTCTTTAACACATAACATTATATTAGTTTCAGGTGGTGTATAATGACTCAATATTTGTATATATTGTGCAATTGCATCCTACTTTCTAATCACATTTCTTCTTTGTTTCCTTTGTTATTGTTCTTCATCCTTTAATTTTTGAGATTAAGATTTTACCTTCATTTCTGGGGACAATAAAAATGTGGCTTAAAGGTATTTACATAGTAAAAAGGTTTCAGTTTTGTGGCTGCTGTATGATAAAATTTGCCTTTGTAGTTTGTTTCACCCACAAATGCACTTTCCCCTTTGTTGGAATTAATTTCACATTTAAACAACAAACTTTTTGTGAAAGATTGGGAAATCTGACATTGAAATTGTAAACACGCTTCAAATATAATATTCTGAATAGCTAGAATTTTATCATTGAATGTATACTAGTTGTCTTTTATTCTTGGGACTTAGAGGTTCCCAAGATTTGAAATTTCCCAAGAAATGATGTTCAGAATAATTTATTTACTCATTACAAAGCTCTGTACCAACCAGCCAGTTCCAGAGAATTCAGAAATAAGTTGCAGTGCCTGCCCAAACATGTAAACAAGCCATTCAATCATTTATTCAATAAATACTGTAGTTATGGAATGGCTGATATGTACTGGGTGCTGTTCTATGCACATGAGATATGTGGGTGATCAAGAGAAATAAAGTTGCTACCCTCATAATGCTCATATACTAGTGAAGAGACAGGAAACAAGTAAATAAATGGTTACACAAAACAATGTCAGATAGTGATAAATGCTATGAAAAAAAGGGGGCAAAGGGATCAAAATTGATGAGGGCTGTTCCCTTAGACATGGTCAGAGTCAGTTCTCTGAGTGGGGAACATTTGACCTGAGTACAGTTAAGGTGCCTCATTCATTTGGAAGGTTGTAAACTGAGATTTAGAGTCAGTGTTTTTGATGAACTGGTGGAACCACTGGCTCACAAACATCTATATACATGAATTTATCTTTGGGAGGGAAAGGACTATTCAAGAAAAAGTAGGTACATCAGTGTCCAAAAGCAGATCATAGGAAAAGAAGGTATTTATTCCTCAACCTGGTCCCATGGATTCAGTTTTGACATAGTATGGCACTTAACATTTTAGGGATCAGCAATCCCCCTGAAAATCAGGTGAAAGTTAGGATCCCATCTCTGTCCCCTGAAGAGTACACATGCACATTTAGTAGAAGCTCTTCTAACCACTGTCCACTTATGTTCTCAAGTCCTTTTCTGAAATACGCTAACTGATCTCTGGAAAAAATTGAAGGCTCCGAGGTAGTAGTCTTCACTTTGGTTCCCCTACGCATATCTGCTTCCACCAGTTGGGTAGAATACTTACCAAGAGTCAGTTGTGTTTGTTTTCAATCTATTTATTTCCACTTTATTTTTCATAATTATGTAATTAAGTTACGTAAATTGATAACATTTGAGTCTGTGTAGAAAAATAATTGTTTCAGTGAAAACCAAGAATGCTTTGGAAAGACTGGATAAACAGGAGTGCTAATAAAAATAGCCATTGCGTTGAGGATAGGCGAGGTGATTATAAAAGACCAGGGAACTTTTGAAAAGCCCCAAATCTAGTAAGATTCCACATTCAGTTTGCTTTGCAAGAATCTTTAACTTGTCTCCACTGTGAAAGAAATGACACTGAAAACTCAATGCAAAGCAGTAGGGATACAGTTTATGCAAGAAATACTACCCAGAATTTCAGTCAGAGGAACCATTTTTAGAAGAAAAGGTCTTAATGACTGGGGGATAAATGTTTAGGTGAAAATAAATTTCATATTGATAAAGACAGAAGTTAGACTTTATGTGATAGAGACCCAAATTACTAGTGATTTACTCCAGAAAAATGTTTTTCTTTCACATAAAAATGTTAATTAAGTTATCTGTGGGAACAAGTAAACACCAAATTTATAAAAACTCAGACAACAGAAATTTATTTTTCATTCATATAACAGTCCAAATGGAAATCCTGGTCAATAGGTAGCCTTCCTCCATATGGTGATTCAGGGATCCAGGCTTTTCCATCTTGTAATTCCACCATTATCATAACTTGCTGTATCATAACTAGAGAAATAGAAAAGTGGATATGGAGCATGTGTGTAAAAAAGGTTCGATTGAGTAAATTTGAAGATCTGATTGGCTTTATTAAATTATTCATGAATTGGGCTGCATCCCATCTAGCAAATAGAAAAGAGGTCTGCTGAGCTACAAAAAAGAAAGGTTTTTAAAGTCAGAGGGCATAAAAAAAGAAAAGAATTTAATAGTAAAGAATGCATAAACTTTGTTTAGGCAAGGTTGTCCTCCTAAGTGAGAAGGGTCCTCCAGGAAACTCCGGGTTGGTTAAAGTTTACTTTTTTAAAGGGATTGAAACTGCAGTTAGGTTTACTGACATGGGGCCCTAACTTAAGTGACTCCATTACGTGCCTTAGGTTTTTCTTTTTAATACATGCATAGCCACTTTTTTAAAGCCTAGATCTGAAAACTCCACACATCACCCATCACATCGTGTTGGCTATACCTGGGTCACATGGCCACATCTAACTACTAGGAAGAATGAAACATAGTCTTTGTTCTAGTAGTCTATTTGTTCAGCTAAAATCAGAGTTTCTATTACTATAATAGTTCTCTATTGCTTTGTAACAAATTGTTCCAAAATGTAGTGGCTTGAAACAATAAACACTGACTTCACAGTTTCTGTGGGTCAGGAGTCTAGCTGAGTTCTGTGGTTTTGGATCTCTCAGAAGCTTAATCAGAGTACTGGCTGGGACTGCAGTCACCTCCAGGCTCTGTGGGGAGGATCGCTTCCAGTTGGTTGTCACTCAGTTGAATGTCAGCACCCTCAGAAGATTTGCTGCCAAGCCCTCACATGGCCCTTCACAGCCATTGGTGGCCATCAAGCCCTTGGTTGTTGCTAGAGAAATTGGTTTCTTGCCGTGTGAGCCTCTTCATAGGGCACCTTACAACATGGCAGCTGGCCTTCCTCAAGGTCAGTAAGGAAGGAAGCATGAGAAAGAGATAGACAAAAGCCAGAACCTTTTTGTGCCCTAATCTCAGAAGTGATATTCCATCCCTTTTACTGTATTCTGTTTGTCAGAAGCAAATCACTAGGTTCAGTCCATACTCAACGGGAGGGGATTATATAACGGTGTAAATAAACCCCAGGAAGCAGGAGTCTTAGGTGGTATTTTAGAGTATGCGACAGTTACTCCAAGACAGAATGGAAAAACAGATTCTGGGAATCTCTCCCAATGTATCAATGTTTCTTTTAGTGGTGATTTCCCACTTTAATAAGCTTTTTCAGTCAACCAACCAATCCCACATATGTTGGGTAATAATACAAGCTAACACTTAACAAGCATCAGGCACTATTTTAAGTCCTTTATTTGAATTAATAATAAGTCCTCTCTGGCTGATGGATAGACTGGCACTGTGTGTGTTGGGCCCTGTTCCCTGTAATCATCTTGGATGGATGTTCCCCCGGGCCTTGGGTAGCTTCCTTGAATGCAGGAGCTGATGAATACTCAAGGAGGACCCTCTCCAGATCTCTGGGATTCTGTCTGTGTGGCTTTCTCCTTTCTGGTACTCTGTCCGTGAACTCTGGCTGCCGCTGTCTCCTGAGGCCAGAGAGTCCACTGGGCTCCAGCCTAGTTCTCTGTCCCTGCCCTGCAGTCTAGAAACTCTCCCAGGATAGTAAACTGGGTTAGTCGCTGGGCTCATTCATTTGTTTCCTATTTCTTTGGCAACACTGTCCTCGATTGCCTGATGTCCAATGCCTTCAAAGTTATTCCTTGATTTTTTTTTTCTTTTCATTGTTTCAGGCAGGAGGGTAAATCTGGTCCCTCATATTCCATCTTATCTAAACTCAAAAGTTGGAACTCATACTCTAAGCATGTTCTTGTATCATCCTCTATACACATAAAAAAGTAGTAACATTCTCAGGAAAATGTGTGGCCATCCTGTTGACATCCATGGGACCATGATCCCATGTTATGGGTTCTAGGCAATAACTAAAGGGGAGGTTTTCATAAAAACCTCTGTGAATTACAGAAAATAAAAGAAATGCTGCTTCAGGACCAGATGACAAAATGAGACACACAGTAAAGAGAGACAGACTCCTCATTCTTCATGGAACAATCTGACTGCAGGGCAGTGAGCATCGGAAGGTATGGTATGCCATTTAAAAATATTTAGTCTATTTTTATCAACTATGCAGGCGTATATCATTTAAAAATATAAATAATATATAATAGCTTCTAAAAGAAAAAAGTGGTTCCCACCTTCCAGTCTTGCTGTGCCCAGGTAACTATTCTTTACAATTCTAGCTAGGTATTCTACCATTTGCTTCTATTAAACAAGCACAAAATAATCATGCTTGCTGTGCTATTTGGTATCTGTGCTTTTTCACTTTGGAGCCCTGGGATTAGGATTCTGGGAAACATACATTTACAGAAAGCTGATGATATGACTCCTGTTAAAAAACAAAATTCAGTTGAGTAAATGTGAAGATCTAATTGGCTTTATTCAACTACTCATGAACTAGGCAGCATCCCCTTTAACAACTAAAGGGAACTCTGAGGAGTTGCACAGAATGGAAGGTTTTTATAGACAGAAAGAGGGTGGGACAAGGAAGTTAAAAGAGTGGATTATTTCAGGCAAGGTTACCTTCGCTTAGAGGAGGGCAGAGTGTCATATCAGGCAGATTACCTCACAAGTGCTGACTTGGAAATTCCAGGCTGATTGGTTTAATTCTATTCCATGGAAAGATTGAAACTGCCCTTAGATTAGATACTGGGTCTTGGTGCAGCTTAGCAAAAGTGATTCCATTTTGGGCCTGTTGTTTCTTTTTAACACTCACTTAGGTGGATTCCACAACAATATCAGAGTGTAGGATCATTCATTTAAACATATGAGGCACACCCATAAGTTTCTAGAAATAACTAAGGGAGACTTTGCATGAGACCCGTGACATTAATGTGTGACCTTCGAACTATTAATGTTGATATGTTGTCATTCATTATGATGAACTGTTGGGGTCTGAGGCAGTTTGAGTTATAAATACAAAATACCTCCTAAGGTAATGTAGGAACACAGAGAGGATGCTGGCTGACTAAGGCACTCAAAGCAGCTTCAGAGCTCAAGTTATGACTTGAAGTAGAAATGGGAGCTCACCAGTGTCAGGTGATAGATAGGACTCGAAGGAGAAGGGAGTTGCCTAGCAACTAGTGACAAATAGAAGAGCGTGGCATGTTCGGAATATGAAAATAGTACTATAAAGCTAAAGTTGCGAATTGTATTATTCACGAGACATGAGGAAGATGGACTGTTGAATGGTTTCTAGTAAGAATTTTTGAGGCCTGGGGTAAATTTCTATGTGGGAGAATTTCATCTGCTTCTCCCTGTCTTGTGGGATTCTACTAGTACAATGTTGGTTTACTTTAAATTCTCATTTTGAGGTTTATAATACTAGCAAGGTGACAAGAATTTAGGCTAAGGACTGGTTTCAGTTCTAAATTCTTGTCAATGATTATCTCAGCAATGATGATCTTGGCTCAGCACCAATGTTTGAGTTTACTTATTTATTTTGGTTTAATTTTGTCCCAAATTAAAGTCCCCTGGAGCCAAGAAAAGGGGGCAGGGGATGAAGGATGGGCGTGGAAATTTTTTAGTGAAGAAGTTTATCCAGATACCTAGGTCACCAAATAATCAGAAACAGAATGAAAGGGATCGTATTTTATTTACCAGGTCTAAATTGTAACAGAATGAGAAGGCTTGACATCTCTGCCCTCATATTGTATCTGTCACCTTTTTGCCTTAATCTTTGCATCAAGAGGCTTTTTCTCAGCCCTGCAGTCCTGCAGGGACTTGTTAATCACCAAAAGGACTTTTGCTGTGGACATAAGATTGGTGCAACCAGCCCCTTACCTGAAAAATCACTTCCCCTGAGGAGATAAGGAAGTAGGTACAAAAATGAAGACTGGGTTGTCACGGACTTACAGAGATATCATAGCCAGACCCATGTCAACAAAATCACTGGCGTCAACTAACCAAGAACAAGGAGTTTCACGATCCACCTCAGACCCTCGCTGACAACCAGACGGCTGAGGTCAATTGTCACCTCTTGATCTCAACTCCCTTCTGCTCCCACCTCCTTAATATAAACGAAGCTTGAAATCAGCCAAGTGAAAAGGGTGCTTTAGGACAATAGTCTGCCAGTTTCTCTGTCTGCTGGCTTTCTGGATAACGTCATTTTCCTTGCCCTTGTCTCTCAATGGCATGCCATGTGGCAAGTGGCATGCACTTGGACTCGGTAACATAATCTGCTGAGAAAACGATTCCATATTTCTTTGCTTTATAAAATCTTGGGTGGAGGGAAGAACATGGAAATGGCTAATCCAAATGATGGAGATCTGGACTTTTTTCCCCCAAGCATCTTTTATCTACCCACTGCTTTGCTTGTCGCCAAAGGGCTTCAAATGGCAGAGCTTATTTTTTGGTCTGGTCCTTTGTTGAGGGGTAAGAGCAATCGTTTTGAAGCCTTGGGTCCAGTAACAGCACTGTCACCTAGAATGTCACTTTCAGGATTCATTCCTTCCAGAATTTCAGTTACCTCTGAGAGGAAGCATAAAGGAAACCTCTGTAAAGCAGGGCCAGCAAGCCCGGAAGGGAGAGCTCTCCTGCACACACCGCTCGCTGCTCCCGCATAATCCACAGGAGGGAGGAAGATTCTCATCTCGACAAAGGAGGACACTTTTCACCAGGAATTTTATCTCCTGCTTTTAAAAGAGGGAAGCTCTAGGCTTTTTCTCAGCCCTGCAGTCCTGCAGGGACTTGTTAATCACCAAAAGGACTTTTGCTGTGGACATAAGATTGGTGCAACCAGCCCCTTACCTGAAAAATCACTTCCCCTGAGGAGATAAGGAAGTAGGTACAAAAATGAAGACTGGGTTGTCACGGACTTACAGAGATATCATAGCCAGACCCATGTCAACAAAATCACTGGCGTCAACTAACCAAGAACAAGGAGTTTCACGATCCACCTCAGACCCTCGCTGACAACCAGACGGCTGAGGTCAATTGTCACCTCTTGATCTCAACTCCCTTCTGCTCCCACCTCCTTAATATAAACGAAGCTTGAAATCAGCCAAGTGAAAAGGGTGCTTTAGGACAATAGTCTGCCAGTTTCTCTGTCTGCTGGCTTTCTGGATAACGTCATTTTCCTTGCCCTTGTCTCTCAATGGCATGCCATGTGGCAAGTGGCATGCACTTGGACTCGGTAACATAATCTGCTGAGAAAACGATTCCATATTTCTTTGCTTTATAAAATCTTGGGTGGAGGGAAGAACATGGAAATGGCTAATCCAAATGATGGAGATCTGGACTTTTTTCCCCCAAGCATCTTTTATCTACCCACTGCTTTGCTTGTCGCCAAAGGGCTTCAAATGGCAGAGCTTATTTTTTGGTCTGGTCCTTTGTTGAGGGGTAAGAGCAATCGTTTTGAAGCCTTGGGTCCAGTAACAGCACTGTCACCTAGAATGTCACTTTCAGGATTCATTCCTTCCAGAATTTCAGTTACCTCTGAGAGGAAGCATAAAGGAAACCTCTGTAAAGCAGGGCCAGCAAGCCCGGAAGGGAGAGCTCTCCTGCACACACCGCTCGCTGCTCCCGCATAATCCACAGGAGGGAGGAAGATTCTCATCTCGACAAAGGAGGACACTTTTCACCAGGAATTTTATCTCCTGCTTTTAAAAGAGGGAAGCTCTTCCCCTGTGCCAGCAGTAACGACTAACTGCCACACAGTGCAGGAGAAACCTCCACAACCTCAGCTCTTCTTCTCCAAGGAGCTTTTGTTTGTAACTTCCCTGCCCAGTTTCCTCCAGAAACCTAATAAAAAGCTGACCTTCCCTTTGTCTCTTTGGACTGCCTATGGCTTTCCCATAGTTTGCTTAACCTGAACTGTAATTCCTCAATAAACTCGTTTTGCCAACGAAATAACAGGCCATTATATTTTTTAGGTCGACACCTCCTCTGTAAACACACAACACTGATTCATGCCGTGTGCGTTTCCACAGCTGCCATAACAAAGTACCACACCTTGGGTGGCTTAAAACAAAAGAAATTTGTTGTCTGACAGTTCTTGAGTCTGAAAGACCAAAATCAAGATGCAGGCAGGGCCAGGCGCCCTCTGCAACCTTCAGGGACGGGTCCTTCCTTGTCTCTTCCGAGCTTTAGGTGGCGGCCATCGATCCTTTGTGTTCCTTGGTTTGTAGCCACCTCACTCCAGCCTCTGCTTCTCCGTTGTTGAGGTGGTCTCCCTGCGTGTCCAAATTTCCCTCTTCTTTTTCAGGGCATCAGCCATATGGATGCACCCTGCTACAGTATGACCTCATTTTAATTAACTAATTATACCTCCAACACCCCTATTTACAAATATGATCACATTCTGAAATCCCTGGAGTTAGGACTCCAACATGTCTTTTTGTGGAACTCAGTTCAACTCATAACATCTACTTTTAGATCACTCCCCTCTTTTTCCTCAAAACACATCATACATATCTCACCTACCTTAGTTATAGCCCTTATCAGTGTGTTTTAAATAAACTATTATTGACATGTTGCATACCTACAGATAAAAACATACAAACATAAATATACATCTTGAAAAATGATCACACAATCAACATGCATGTTACCATCACCCAGATTAAAAAATAGAACATTACCAGTATCCCCAGAAGGTACCTCGTGTCCCATACTAATTACTACCTAACCAAAGGTCATGTACCCTGATTTCTAATATTATAGATGTGTTTTGCCTGTTTTTGAAGTTTATATGATCAGAATAATTCTTTTGCCTTTTATGTCATTCACTTGACATTGTCTTGGTGAGTTAATATGTATTGTCATCTGCAGCATACGACATTTTATTTTTATTCCTGTGTAGTCTCCTGCTAGGGGACTATATCATATTTATTTATCCATTATACCGTTGATAGACATTGAGGATGTTTTCAGTTTGGGCTCTTGCAGATCATGCTGTAAAGGACGTTCTTGCGTGAAGTGTGCATTTGTTTCGTATGTATCTAGGAGCGGAATAGCTGGGTCTCAGGTTTTACCTCTGTTCAGTTGGAGTACATGCTGTCAAACAATTTTTCAAAATGCTTAT